TTCAGGCTCTTATTGGTGTGCAATAGCATTTTGAATTTTAAAGTTTATCATTTAAGCACTGTGACGAGGTGGGTAGTGCTTTATTAACATCAGATTTGGTTGTCATCAGCATAGTGTACATAGAGATACCTACAAAGAATGACCCAATGATAATATGAATACACTAAAACGTACAGAGACTTGTGGGATGCCACACATGACTAACTTTGTAGAAAAGGTATAATCTCAATTTGAACAGTTGATCATGTCTATTAACAATTTAAACAAAACCATTCCAGTGATATTAACACCACTCTAATCTATTTAGTAAGATGGTGCAATCAACAGCATAAATGCAGCACTGAAGATCAACACACAAGGAAGGATAACATAACAGTCTTCAGGAATTCATTACAACCCTAAAAAGTGATGTTTCTATACTATGCATCGATCTGAACCCAAAGTGAAATAAATACAATTTCCTGTATATAATTGAGTATATACCTGAGCATCCATAGCCTTTTCTAGAACTTTTGATGAAAATGAGTTAAGTTTGATATTGGTCAATAATTACTAAGCAGGAAAGAGTCTAAATCTTTTTCAGCAGAGGGAGAACTACAAGCTTGAGGGCTAAGGGAAACATTCCAGATCCTAATGATTCATTGATGATATGGTATGCAATGCAATGAGATGGAGAACTGCAAAATGTGAACACAGCAGATCAGTAGGAATAGGATTTAAGAAACATGTGGAATGTTTCATTTTAGCAATCATTTCAAATGAGAGTGGCTGTGGAGAGACATTATGAAACTTTGTAAGATGAGATAGATCACAATAGAGGTATTGAATGCAGCACGTACTCTATATGAGGCACATACAATATTCTCAGAAGATGATACAATCTGACTCTTGACATTATCAATTTAAGATTTAACAAACTGGGAAAAATGACTGTAAATTATTGCAATTCTAAAAGTATAGCAGAATATTCAGTAGAATTGTGCACCAGGAAAGATGAAAGATTTCTGTTTTGGTGACCTGAATAGAAGCATTATTGCCAAAGACAGGATATTAATAAGCACCAATGGCATGCATTGAAACAATTTAGAAATTACTCCATAAAATGATCGCAGAGTAATGTTGAGTCAATGTACCAGCCCACACCCTCTGCTTGATGTATGAGATTTCTCTAAACAAAGATATTCAGGAAAGGTTTAATGAAAACCTGAAGTTTCAGATAAATGGAGTCTATAACGAAAGATCAGGAGTATCACTGACAACAGCCAAGTGCAATCAGCTTCAAACAGTACAGTATGTCAGTCATTCGCAAATCAATCTTTATGTCATGTCCTCACTTAAACATTACACATACTGTATGCAATTCCCTTTTCTCCCTTGCACATGTCATTTGCGTTGCACCCCTCCACCACCCCATCTCTGCAGCTGTCGTTGATCACTCCTCACTCTGCATGGGGGCTCTAGCCTTCTCGTCCTATCGTCAAGAGGCAAGCCCTCAGCCAAATTATTGGAACTTAAAATATCCCAACATTTTAGTAAACCTATGTTGTCATTCCTGACAAATCATAAAATGCCTTTCTCTGTAATAAAATAAATAAGATCTATTTGGTCAAGGAGGGAGTACCAGAGTATATTATACTGCTTTAACTGTCTCTGTGTCTAGGTTTCTGCACAGTGCATCATTAGGAAGACCGTAATGCAAGCAGCTAAAATGGATACTGGCACAGCTAAACCAACCAGAATGCCAACGGTATCTGGGCAAAATGAACGGTTATTGCCATTCAATTAAAGCTATGACCAGACTCCCCTGTGCAGTATCTTCCTGTGGATCATCCCTAGCTGTGTATTTGCTAACTGCAGAATTTAAAAGTCAAGATGTGATGGTCACAGGTTTATTACAGAAGTATAGGATTAAGGCTCATTCTTTGCGATTCCAGCTGTGAGTGAACTTCACATTTGACAAAAAAAAAAACCTTTCAAAACTAGACGTACAGGGCAGATTTGTAATCAGATTGATTCCAGCTCATTAAAGATCAAAAGAATCATGAAGGTTAATTAGGCATGGTTTTGAAGAGAAAGCTGTAGGGTCGTTTCAAAGCTTTTCTGCTCCTAAGCTAAATTTGCTTATCTGTTTCTGAAAAAATCATTCAATGGAAAATAGAATTGGCAATACAGTATTTTGCTTAATCATACTTGTAGTAGTTTATTTGGCATGAGACAGAAACTGAGATACTGAGATTTACAAACTTAAAAAGAAAAGTTAATAATCTAATAACATTGAGTGTAAAGCATTACAATTTTCAATAAATACACTGATTAGACATATTGAAATTAAATTCCTTATATTACTAAACCAAAGTTAATAGAGAACTGCATAATGGCTTTGATTTTAAACCAGCTTCCACAAGATCCCTTCTCTGTTAAAGAAAACCAAAAAGTAAACCATACAGTACCAATTAATCCTATGCACCTTTGTGCGACACATTCTTGTTTTAGTAAACTATTTTATTTCACTTGTCTTATGTCTAATCAGAGATAAGAAAATAGTTCATTTTCTTTCACTCTTGAAGCACTCTTTGTATAATTTTATTTAAAGTCTTCAATAAAAAAACTATTTTAAAAGTATTAAAAATACTATAATCCTAGATTATCATTTATATAAGTTCCCCTCATTTAACATTAATGAATTATAGCATGACGTTGAATAAACAGAGTTTAAAACGCAAACAAAAGCTCAGGAGGCGGTCAAATTCTGTCGCTCACTCTGAGGGAGAACTCAGAGGGCAGCAAGGCAGATGAAGTCCATTTTCTATGTGAAAAAAATGTATTTGCAAGGTAGCAATTCGTGTTTGATTGCCTTTAAACAAACTATTTACCTGTTGTTTTGACTGATTGATGACCATTAGAATAGACTCCACTTAATTTCTCTGCTGTCAGTGATAACACTCCAATCCCTAGTTTTAACTTTTCTCTGCATTGTGCAATTGGCCGTGCTACTGTATATCTGTTCAAAACAGTACCCTTCCTCACAAAAACCTTCTACAAAATGTTGCATTTCAACTGCTTTGATGTCCTTATTTCACACTTTAAGAAGCTCCTTGCTGGTTCCTCCTACATATTACAGGTGTAGGCGACTATAGATGTCTCTCAAAAGAATCTAGAAGCAATGGGTAAAGCCTAGCTATTGTCACCATTTTCAGCTTAAAAGCAAAGGGGACATTTGCTGAGATATAGGGGGTTCAGATTCAGTTATCAAATAATTGTCAAGTTTACCTTGGTTTACCTTAATTAAGTTCTGGGTAAATGATTATGTGTCAAGAATCCAGAAAGATGCCATATAAGATCTGATCAAGACAGAACAGAGGAAAAAACAGACCACAAGAGAGAGGAGACAGTAAAAGACAGAACAAAGTGTGTGTCAGGTGAGAGGTTCTTGTTTGAGATCACTTGAAAAAACCTGATTGAACCTTGCTAAGAAAGCTTGCTGTTTTGTAGCTTTAAGGGAATGTGGATTTTCTGAGTTAAAAACAGCCTCTGCTCTGTCATCTCCACCACATAAGTTGCATATAAAAGACCCGACAGACTGTGACTCTCCAGGAACATGGTTGACCACCCCCATATTATATGATAATTAAACAATAATTTACAGCATTTGGGTTGGCAAACATACACATCACACCAGGCCAACTCAGTTAACTTACCAGCATATCTTGGGACTAGGAGGAAACTGGACAACCCAGAAGAAACCCACACAAACATGCAAACCCCATGCAGGTAGCACCCCAGGAATTGAATACAGAGCCCTACCACTGCAAGACAGCAATGCCAACCATATTGCCACCATGTTACCTCGTTATTTTGTCTATTAGGTTTGTACGATACAAAATGTTTTTGTATAGTACGTTTCCAGAATCTAAATCAGTAATGTTACATCCCAGTGGGTGGTCCATGTGTGTTTTGTTGCCGTGTTTCACACTTTCTGACCTTGATTGTTCTCCCTCCCCCATTGGTCATCATCAATCAGCTTTTCAGCCAATCAGAGTGCAACTTTAAGTATATAAGTTGGAGGTTTTCAGAATGATGGGGCCTTTCGTTTGACTTCGGTCCCGTTCAGCTTAGCTTCGGTTTTGTTTCGCTTTTGGTTTTTGCTTCGTTTGGTTAGTCTTCGTTTGTGTGTGTATTTTTGTATAGCTTCGGCTTTTGTTGGTTTCTGTTCGTCTCTTTGTACTTTTGTTTGCGTTTATCTTTGTTTAGCCATTTCCTTGCCCAGTCGTATTGTATCAATCTCTGTGTTCTTTTGTAGCCTTTTGTGTAAAGAGTTAATTTAGGTTGTTGGGTACATTCCACACACGTAGTTAATTTCTGTATTAGTCACTAGTTTAGTATGGGTGAGTGTCGTTTGTCTTGTATGGTTTTGGGTAGTCAGTGAAGGTTAGCTAGGGCATTTGAAGACACCGAAGACCATGGGTTTCAGGTTTTCTTTTGTAGTCAGGTTAGCTTTCCCTCACTTTCTTAGCCAGCTCCATTTTGTTTGTTATTTTCTTTGGCATCACTCTAGTCCCCTTACCCTGTGTTTTATTGTGTCTTCTATTACGTACCAGTCACTTATTCACCACAAAATAATAATCACTTTCGCACTGACCCTTGTTATCATGCTTCCTCACCAGAACCCACCTGCATCCAAGAACTATCCTAAATGTTACACCCCTTTACACCTAGACACTTGTGGTCATAACAGTAAATAAAGATCAGGAACAGCAATGGATCTGAAGCCTGAAAACAGAAAACCGAAAGGTGAACTTTAAAATAACTGCCATTTCCTTTTTGTTAACCAGTTGCAAATTCATATGAACGCTAACTTAGATTTCTCCAATATTTAATCTCAGAATTAACATTGTATGAGAGGTCTTTGCAAAAGCTTATAACAATAAACCCTGGAGAACCTGTGTCAGAACATACAGTTACTTACAGCAGGAACGGGTCTGAGAGTAGCACAGTTTTTATTATGGATTCTTTGTGTTGAGGGTTTGGTTGAGAGCAACAAAAATATGGATTTCCACAACTGACAATACAAAACTTGAAACATCAGAGTAAGGGGAAAAATGTATATTGTATCTCTTGTTAGGATGGACAGGTTGTCAGAGTTCAGCAGCAGGAAATACAGGCTTGCGATTGACAGTCCATTTTCTTAAATCTGTAAATCTCCACTTCAGCACATTGTTTTCCAAAAGAACAGTTGAAAATCCTACTCCTGAAGCTTTAATAAGTTCCTCAGGTTTCACCATCATTTTGCAGTTGAAACTTCATAAAACCTAAAAAGAAAAGACAGCACTTATCTTCTGGAGCACTGAGAGATGTGTTTCTTTGGGATCTTGTAGTCTTTCCATTCAGAAATGATGAAAGCTTTAGAGCCTATTCTTATAATTCAGTACAGAAATTGCAGAATTGGCTCTGTTTGACAATACAATTAGCTGCTGTAACAAATATTTTGTCTTAGCAGAGCAGAAGACCAGTTTTGTTATGCCAAACTGTAAATAGAGCTCTCTCTTTATAAGGGCACGGTCAGTGAAAAACACTGAAGAGGAGCAATGTGAAATTCTCTTTAGACATACAGTTAAAGTAACCAGACTACATCATTGATGTAGTTAATAAGAAAATGAATCAGAATAGATTAATATGGCCCTGCCAAGCTCTCTGTTAAGCAATTAAATATAACAGATGGCATGCTTATTGTGCCATGACTATGTAGTTGGTGCTACATGATTTCTGTAAGTAAATATATCATGTTGTATGATTCAGTGTTATCAACTGTCCTTGTGGCTTGCTCAAATTCTAGTAAGCTAATTAGAAAAGTTCCAAGTCCATGTTCAGTCTTTTACAATTCTAATGTTTTGTAGACGTTCTCGTACTTAATTTAGCTCCGACTCTTTACATATCTTTTCTAGTAACGGAAATAGAATGATTGGTCTAATTTTCTGGTTTATCTTTCCCCTCCATTTTATGAATGAGTGTTATATTTGCAGGTCTCAGATCTGTGGTATACCATCCTAACTTAAAGTTGAAATGTTAAAAATATGATCCCTTGATTCCTTAAGTTCAACAAATACCTTCAGACCACTGTAGATTTTATATTTACTTAGCCCCAGTAGAGCTTCAATAGAATTGTTTTTAAATTCCCAAAACACTTTCTTTGAATGTACAGTCCTTTCACACAAACTGTTTCTTCTTTTTTTTATCCCCTTCTGCCTACCTGCCTGCCTTTCCAAAAATGTGTGTAGTTCTATATTAATTTCCCATCAAGCTTCAATTTTTCTTACAGGATCAAACTAGGGGAGCCAGCATTTCTACTTTTTTTTTCTCTTTGACTCTGCTGTTAAAGAAGAAACTGTATTGGATCCAAGTTTACTGAAATTACTTTTGCAGGTACCGGAAATAATGCAATGCATTTATTGACTATGTAACTAACCTTGCTTTATTCAACAGCTTAAGAATGAGGTGTAGCTTTACAAGGAAATGTGTTGCCACCTTTACTTCTGCTCCGGTCACACCGATGACTTTCACACAGCTTCTGCTATCCACTCCATCCTGCTGTCCAACAAGGGCTTCAACAAGCCAGAGCCTTTCACAGAAGACAAGGCATCACAGCACACAAACACATACAGAGACAAATCAGAGACACCATTTAACCTGCATGTCAATGGGAAGTAAAAGGAAACCAATGTGAGGAAAGAGTCAACGTGAGCACTTCAGAGATGAATCCCCATTCCAGAACTAAACAGAAAAAACCAACTGAGTTACACAAGTGTGTTCTCCTTCTTTCCAGCTCCTCTGCACAAACAGCCCATTTTTAAATAACGATCCAGTAAAGGTTCATCTACATAGATAGTGCTGCAATATGTAGGCACTGTTGCTACAGGACGCTAAATCTTCTTTAAAATAATTAAATAAAAAAAGTACTCATTGATATACATATAGAATTGTCCTTGAATGGACAAGACAGCTGTGTTGATTGATAAAATGCACATTAGTATTTAGAAACAGTGTTATGACATCTTAAACTATTTTTGGACATCTCTATCTATAATATCCTAACCCCAAAAAAGTAAATACTTTTGGTATTTTAATATATGCATGCTTCAAGCTACAATACATGGTCTTACAAACCATTATAATGATAATATGGCTTGTCAAAAGCAATGCGTAAGTATTAATTAGGAGCTGTTGATTTATTGCTATCAGCCCCAGTTACCATACTAATTTGGTTCTGTTCCGAGGTCTGTTCTCATCTAGATAAAATAACAAAATAATTGTTTCTAAGACTGTTCTTTTTAACATAAAATAAGCCCAAATAAAAATGTGAGTTAAGCAGGAAAATATGACCCTTGATTTTCCAGTGGCATTTTGTTTTGTCCAAATCTTAAGAATAAACTTTACACTGGAACCTATCTCCTTTTGTCATGTTCATCGCCCAAAAGACAGCAGGTGTTCCCTATCTAATCCTCTCACTTCATCAGCCATGCCCATTCTTATGGTATCACTTGAAGCCATGTTACAGACATTAAAACATCTCTAGACCACATTAATATTCATGAGCACATTTACTGTTCACTGAAAAGAGAACAAGAAAGTAAGAGGAAAAAGTAGTGAGACTTTTAACAAGGGGCCTCTCCATGCAGTGTAGTTACCCACATGGCCAAGTAAAATTGAACTTCAAAATCCGCCCTGATTACTTAATGAATGTTAAAGTCTCTTCACTACTTCCAGTATCTCTAACCACATCCTGCTCACTCAGGCAGCTCCAATAAAATTGACTTAATCAATACACTGAAAATCAATGCATTAGCTTCCGTCTAATTATAATGTATTACTTGATAATGAAGGTCAGTTTTGACCATTTGATTGATATGTTTAGCTTAGCAGGCAGATACAGTATTTAATATTTAAATAAAAAATAAAAACGCACATCTGATCATTTTTTAGCAGGTGAACATAGAAATACAGACATTTCCTCTATACATTTATTTTTTTAACTTACTAATTATTTGACATCAATACACAAGAGTGCTAAAGCTTAAGCGACATACTCCGTCAAAGCAATTACTACATTCTGTCAGAAACCATTAAAGTTTAAAATCCTCATGTCTTGTTATAAAGAATAGATTGGTTTTATAAATAAATCATGAGCAGATTTCTCCTGAGGAGTACTTAGTATTTACTAATTTGATTCTGTTTCAACAGAACAACTGATTTGAAAGATAGAAAGTGACTTTCAATAATTAGATAAATATTTATAACACTTAATCTTTGTTCCCATATATTGCTCTTTCAAACAAACATGTCTAGAAGTAAGACTACTCATGGTCTTGGAAAGCGTTTTTAGCATTTGGTTTCAATGTTTCAAAAAAGTAAACAAGTCCGAAACAAATATACTATGAGATCACAACAAAGATTTGGCGTGTAAATGCACTTTATATGTCATTTCAGAAACCTTTTTTATTCAGTAAATTTTATCCTAATTGTGGTTCACCAAGAAATGCCAGAGGAATATAAAGTACCTTTGTTCTTTAATAATTATACATTCAAAAACCGTTTCATGGTAGCTGAAGAAAGCACCAGGTAAATTTCATGAGCCAATCAGTCAATAAAGTCACATTACAGTTTTAATTTACACTTCATCACTTAAAGTACTTTAGAATGAGTCATGCTAAAATTGGACACCATAAACTCAGTAGGAGAGTTTCAAATTAAACAGAAAGTACAAACAAACAAGTGAAAAGTTTCAAAAATCAATTACATGAAGAAATAAAACCAAATTCAGAACACTTCAAGCATTAAGTTAAGAAACTAGAGTTTTTAAGGAAATGTCCCAGCACAGATGGTAAGCTGAAAAATTGACTAAGATCAGAAAAAAGAAGCTAAAACATAACAAATGCCAGCCTTTCTAAAACAAAAGTTGGTTCCAGCCCCTCCAGATTTAACCATGCTTTATCCTATTCATTCTTTAAAGTTGAATTTCTAGCTTGTCTTCTCCCCTCTCCATTTACCCCTTACTCTTCCTCCTGAATCTGTCTTTAATATACAGCATAGTATATTGCTATACAGTAATGCTTAAACTACAAATCAGATGGATGGCCTAGCATCCAATATATATAAAAATGCTTCCTCTTGTGGGTTTCCAGAGGACTTTCTTGAATTATTTTTTCATCAAATTGTTCACAGCATTTGCATGATATGTATTTATGTATGTCAGTTTTTTTTAAATACAGCATACATAACTTGGATATTGATTGAATATGCTTGTGTCATTTTGATTGATTGATCATTCACAATTGACCATGATATAGTTGAGTGAATTTAGCTGTTAATGAATAAATCATGCCATGTCATAAGCAGATTGGACACAGGTGACGAGGTGACCTGCCATTGTGTCATGCATGGTGAAAATCAAGAATAATACAGTAAGGAACCTCTCTTTTATCAAGAGAGCAATGCCTTTGTACCTATGATTTGTAGAAGGATGGAATAGGTCCTCTCTGTGTCCTCTAGTAGAGTCAAACCTTTAGTGATGAGTAAGGCTTTGCGTCAACCAGCCTGATCGGTAATGGTGAGTGTGGTGCAGATGGCAGAATGATACAAAACTTCTTGTGTATAATAGACCAGTTGATGGGGAGGCCCATGTGTAACAGTCTGGGCATGAGTGTCAAGTCCCGGAAGAACTCCACTTCTAGTGACTGATGATAACCTGGCTACAAGAAGCCACATTGAACATGTCCTGGAACCTCACTTTCTTCCTTTCTTTTGAGACCATCTTGAAATGGCCGCAATTGTACATTACTCCCGCTGCTCATCTGTTGCAAAATGAGAATGTAACATACAGTATTTTGTGGGTACCCTGCCTTCCAGACTTGAGTCCCATTTGTGGGATAAATCAAGTTAACATGTGACATCTAGGGTTCAGAGACCAGTGAAAAAGACTTGTTCAGGATCTAACAGAGATAAGACAGAATCCCACAGGTTAGCATCTGCAAGCTGGTACGAAGCATGTATTGCAGAGGTGCAACTTGTTTTGCTGCCAATAGTGGCCCCACACACTACTAATTTGTGAGTTCTTCAGTAGACTCACTGTTGCATAACCCTGCTGACAAGTGTTAATCAGCACATTTAAAAGTGCAGCATGTTTGCACAACAAAATATTAGCATACATGTTACACAAAAAATTAGATAGCTTTGTTTGTTTTATGTTAGAAATGATAAGTTTCTCTGACACACAGTTTGTATAGATATCAACTTGTAATTTAATATGAAGATACTGTAGTACTGCATACAAGAAAAAAAGAGCTGCTTTGATCCACAAGAAATACAGAAACTCAGCTAAATCTTCTAAAGCAGCAGAAAAGGGATAAAGCTGTACTGTTCTACAATTCAATTAAAGTGTTAAATGTTCTACTATCTCTACTCCATTCTTTAGTCAGATTTAATGTTCACATCATATATTTAATTTTACTTAGAAAATCAAACCAACAACACAAACATTAAAACATAAGGAGCAGGGATCTCATACTGAACTGGTATCTTCATTAGGTATAGTTTATACTGCAGTATAGAGTATGCACTGCACTAGTCAGGGATCCTGCTCAAAACAGTAGGGATTCAACATACCAGTAAAACAGTTCTCACTTATGATTAATAATAATGTGAATTTGTTATATATCTATATGTTTTCAAATCAATACTTTGTTGTCTGATGCATACACTGTAAATGTGAACATAAAAGGAAATCAAGAATAATGCTCAGACTCAATGCAAGAGGATAGGATGATGCACATGAAACTACAGTATATGACCCACCATAGCTAAAGGCATTAACAGAGGCAAAACAATGTTCATAATTACCATGATATTCTGGAGTAAACCACTAGACTACTGTATCATTCTTTAGCTTTTTCAGGTAATGATACACAAGCATTAATATCATTGGAATAAACAACTTTTGTCTTATTCTCAAGGTACACATGCCTGCATTGTAGCAACCAGTTTACATACATAACTTATGATCTTACAATGAACTGTCAGATTTAGGAGTTCACTAAATAGTGTTTTTGACAGAGGTACTGGAGGTCAAATTTTAATCTCACAATTCTGCTCTCTAATGTATAAATACTCACTGGATGCCCACTCTGTGTGCATCTATATTGTTTAGTTCCCCTCCCTCCACCCCAGCTTCACTCTTGTAGCTGCCTCCCAGTTTCATTCCTCATAAGTGAAGGGGGTTGGGATTACTCTAATCATCAGACAGACTTGTCATTCCCTGCTCCAGGCAAGTTAACACATCAGATTTGATATTTAAAAAAGTTAAATATCAAGTGTGGCAGAGGAGCCTATCACAAGGTACAGGTTTCACAGGAAAAACACTATTCATATACCTTCCAGTGAGCAGTTGCTAGATAAGTTCCTGAGGGTGCACACTCAGGACTTGACTAGTAACTGTTATTACTTCATATCACATACATAAAACATATACATACATATGGGTATGAGTTAGTATTGTGGCATGAATAGAGAGAGCTTTCAAAGTGAATGATACTTACTGTTTGTTTGGCACTCATGACACCCAGGACAGGTCAACCTATGGTGGCCTCAGAAGGCCAAACCTAACCCCACTTCCAAGGAGTATTAATGGAGATGGTTAAAACCATATTCATGTGAAGAGGGTGACATTTTATTGTTTATGTCTATGTCTATTGAACTGGGATAAAAGGGAAATGTAAACTATGTGTTATTAAGATATATTTGATTATGTTCTTTTGTAAGAAATTGAATGAATTATGCATGCATAATTTGTGAAAATTTGATTATGTAAAGGAGAAATGGTTTGTTCCAAAGAGGGGATGAGCTTACATACTATATAAGCCAAGGAGCATGGGGCATGGAGCACTTTTGTTCCTTTTGGGGGGAGGGGGTTACTTGTGTGGGGGAACTGGGAGCACTGTCAGTAAACTGCACTTTGTGGTGGAGATGTTCTTTCATAAAATTGACCTACTGTACTTTGGCCTTTGTTAGGCCACTGTGTGATGTCAAGTATTAATATTTCTCTTAGTCCATTATTATTAATAGAAACAGACTGCTGAATTGTTTTCAAAAGCGGCAGAAACAGAGATGTCAGATTTTCCAGTTACTGGTCAGATGTGAACATGGTACTGTATACACTCCACTGCAGACATGTGCTGGTGGGGAGGTTGTTTGTCAGAAGCATAGACTTTGATGTACTTTATGTACCTATGACAAGAAAACCTTTATAGTTTCTTGCCTGTCTGAGGCTAATATAGTGAATCTTCAAGAACTAGTAGATGGGATAATGTAGCTAGGAGAATCCACTTCTCACTGGAATTGGAATCAATTACAATGACATTAGAATAAAAGGCCCTGGTGAAAGGGGTTATGTAAGATGGATTTAATAAAAATAAAATGTTTTTAATGTAACCACATATGTGGAATGAGTACCATCTCCTGTTTACAATAATAAATTGCAAAAGAGATACAGCTCTTCCTGCTCTCTAGTCACAGTAATGACTAACATAATGTGGTGTATGAGTGAATAAGTATATACAGTAGTAGGCTGTACAGCAGGCTTTACACAGCAGAAATGTTCCAATGTGATCTACAAATACAATTAAATTGTATTTGTCTGCAAAGCTGTAGAGAGCAATATTTCTATTGGATTAAAAGAGATGTACTGTATGTACAAACCTGCTTGTTTACAATGTAACAGGGCCACGTCACCTCACCAGAGGTTTGGTTGCCTTGTTTTGAAGCTCAGAATATGGTGCTTCATATACCTGGAAATTTGGTCTTTTTTGTGGTGTGAATTGGAGGTTTTAAACATTCCTGTACATTTTACTTTCATTGTAGTCTGAAATGCACTAATTGATACTGAATCTAAGTCTAAAATATAAAAATAATGTTTCAGTTCTCCTTTAAGTGTCAATGATATATGTGCATCACTTAAATGTTTATGAGTTTGACACCTTTTCCAATAATTCCATTCAACAATGGAATGTGTGTTAGCATAGTATTGTATGGTGTCCGTTTTCATTTGGTATCAGAGGTTCAGTTCACTTCTCGTCTGGTCTGAGAAACACTTTAATAACTGTGCTTTACTGGTAATGTTTCAATAGTAACAAAGCCATGCACCAATGACATGTGTCAAATCCACTGATCCAGAACACCAGTCAGAAGAAAACTGGCTCAGAGAGCTTGTAAGGCTCCGAAGGGTTATGTCACTACAACAGGCTCATATACTGAAGGAGTCCTTTTACAGGGAATATCTGTGTATTTCTCATCTATGATTCTAAAAAGGCATCATAGTCATTGGACGATTGCAGCAATTCATTCAACTTAAAAATAATGTTTTGTATTGCATATCTGGGAGCACATTGGCATTACAAGCAGATTATAAACAACGATGTGACACCCCTAGGCGTGGGGTGTCAGAGTGATTGATCTTTTTATAGGCAGGTCCTGCGAAAACAGACAAATGCAGCCACAAGGTACATAAAATGTTTTGTTTTGTTTTTATTTATAGAAAACACAAAACATCTAAAACCAGACGAAAAGCCTAAACTGTACTTTGAGCTTCTGCCTACTCTTCTTCTCAGTACATCTCTATTTAAACCAGGCAGCTAAGCTGTTTACTGACTTCAAAACAAATGCTCAAAATGAAAACCCAGATTACACAACGTCCAATCACACACAGGCTCAGCTTCCTGGTTTTAAAATATTGCCTGAACAATTGTTTTCTTTAGCAAACAGACAGGTGACTGAGGGCAACAGGTCATTCCCCACAGGTAGCAGGGGTATGTAGTTCAAGCCAGACCTGCCATCTTTCCTGAAGCTGCTGTCCTCACAAAGAATACAGCAGTCTAATTTACAGTACCAATACTGACGTTTACGCAAAAGGCACTTGCCAAAATGAAAAATGATTGATTCATTCATTGTTTTTGGTATAATGAAGCCAGAATAAAATCCTCAGTTTTATGGTTTACCCCTGGGTGAATTTTTACCACAAATTGTATAAATATTGCCTTGCAGAAGTAATAATGTACTGTAACAAAGAACAATGACAAAAATGATATTTTTATGTTACAGTTAGACAATGTGTATTTGTCACCATGCGATTAATAAGAATGGTATGTACGATATAATAAACATTTGATTTTTGGCAACATTTTTCATCATACTAGAACAAAAACCTACTTTGTGTGAGTGTGGGACATACATTTCAGAATGTGAAAGCCAGCGTTTGTTTGGATATCCCTTTGAGGTATCAGAATGAAATCTGCAACCTATTGAGCTCACTAAACTCACTCTGGAATGTTTCAGTTTTGGACTTAATTTAATTCAGCAAGACTTACTGTATCTTTTCTAAATCCATGTTGACGTTCCCTTGGAATCCCCTCACCATACAGATGTTCACGCAGTTTAGTTCTAACTCTTATTTCCTTATCCTTACATTTAATAGAATAAAGACTTACTGGCCTATAATTACCTGCTTCACTTTTCTCACCGTTTTTTATGGATGGGCGCTATATTCGTTCTTCTTTCTTTATTTATTTGTAAGCCCGAGCTGCCAATCTAATATCTAATTACAGTTCATTCTTTGGTGTAATTGAGTTTGACACCCTGCTTCAGAGAGATAATGTGATCAATCATTCTCTCCACTCATGAAGAGGCAGGTTCTTAATAGAGTTGAGCTGGCAGAGTAAGCTAAAGTCAATATAGAAGTATAGACAAAACAGTGTTTTACTTCATTCAGTGTAAAATTTCCCTACAGTGTATTCTGGGTTCTTTTCTGTGTGACCTTTGAGTGTCTACTGAGTTAGCATTAGTCTTTCCAAATGATTTCATACCAAAGGGTAAGTGACCTAAAGCTGTTAAACACAATTAAGCAAGTACATTGTTTTATTCGGTTTAACTTTCTGGTGTTGTTCATCTTGACTTTAGGAATGTTAAGCTATTCATTACTCATTACTGACACGGAATTTAGAGGAATGTATTCAGATGCACCGATCTCCTGAATGGGTAGATGAATAGACTTTATAAAAAAAGTTTACACTGGTGTATTAGCTTGGAAAAGAACTGAAAAGGGAAAAAAATGTAAAACGTTCAAGGTTTTTACAGTACTTTACAGTAAGTTACTGTACTGTTACTGAGTTAAGTTGATGAAGGTCAAGGACGCATCACTCATAAGGTCTTAGAGTTTTGCAGACTGTGGAAAGTTCTCCTACAACATTAAACATGGGAATTTATATTAAATAGGACTGTTGAATCTTCTAAATGTTTATTTAATGCAAAACTGCATATCAAACATATTACTAGTAAAGGTTTTTTTTATCTTTCATTTCTGTCAACCATGTTTGTATCCTCAATGAGATTTTGATTAAAAATGTTAATAACTCCCATAGTTACTGTGCTTTTTAAAACAATAGTTTCAAGAATATTACACAAGCATAAACTGAGCATTAAAAATATCACTTACAATTGCAAATGTACAATTGTACAACACATTTCTTTTTTGCAGCAGGTGCACTGATGTTTTATTGAACAGTCATGACATATGCAAGTTCATTATGGTGATTAACATTTATCATTAGCAGAGCTGATTAACAGGGGGGTCTCCTCTGAAAGTCACAGGCTAGTGGCATGTGTGGCCACCATTAGAAGCAATTCATCTGTACATCTGTGAAGCATGCTTTACACTGAGCTGCACATGCTGTGTCTTAGGATTCTGTCCCATTTCTCTCATAGATCCTGGAAGAGGCGTGTACTGTACACTGGTCTCTGAACCCTAGACACCACATGTCATCCCAGTTCATCTTCAATAAACAACCATTGTTACAAGAAAACCAACAAGAAAACCATTGTTACATGAGGATGTGTGTTGTCAAATTTGGATGAGCTCACAGGAAGGGTGGTCCTATGATTTGATTAACATAAAGCCTTGTGGGTGAAGCTGCCTTCAATCTCTGTAAGTGGAGTTTCCTAGCATCTAGACACGTGTACCTCGCCCATCGCATCATCATGTTCTGCTGTGCACAACTACTGCATCACTCTGCATGTCTGCACCAAACTAACCTCCCCATCAAGGTAGTTTACATAAATCCTTGATGCATTGCTAAAAATGATTTTTGTCACCACCGGAGGTATTGTGTAGCAGGGAGTGAATGTATCTTTCTCGCAGGATAAATAAGAATAAAGCATGTTTGTTTGTGGAATGAAGCTGTGAATCTCACAAATTTGGGAAAAGGAGGGACATACAGTACCATTAGTATTGTATACAGGTGGTATTGATCATTTTTATTTTGTGTTATTATTGTGACACACCATCTTAGGACAATAAATTGATCTTTCTTTGTTTATTGTTGTGTATTATTGATTATCAATCTGTACACACAGCAATCCAAATAATTAAGAGTCTAAAGTAATTGTCTGTTACAACATGGAATAATCTGTGTGACTCCAAAAAGAACCAGCAGTTTTTTATTTTCTTTTTCTGTGTGACCAATGCCATCAGGTAGATGTGAATGCAGAGCTTCTGTTTTCTTTTTTGTGTGCAAACCAGTCTTGCCATTACATCATCT